CCGCGAAACCTACCATCAACAATAGGCGAAGTTGTAACCACAACAAACCCGACCTAGGTAAAATAGGAAGAGAACCATCAGGTATTTTAGAGGCAGCAGTTGTTTACAGTACTGCCGACGGAATTCTAAGTGTAGAAGCTCTAGATACCTTGAAAAGATATCGTAGGCACTACCGTTTCCTGGTTTCAGATACTCAACCTCTGCCCTGCTTACGTAAATGCCCACGCGTAATTTAACTGTCGATGTCCGAGGTCAGACACGAGGCATGACTAAAACATCAATATAGTAACATGTGGTAGATGCCTTCATGCCCGAAATTACGCTCTATTCAATTTAACAACCAAAGGTGTCTGCTCAAAAGTTGCCTTAATGCCACAGAATTAATTCCACCTGAGGCTCTACTTCCGCCCATCTAATGTAAACGCATTCAATCACCCAGCCATCAATTTTCTTATGGCGAAATATTGTCTCCCAACTACCACCACTTCTAATCTCAGGAAATCAGTGGCGTGCAAGTTAACCCTTTGTAACGAAATGATTCAAACTCGGTAAATTGTTCGGTGTGTACGATTTCAGCATGTGAGAGAAACTGAAAAGGCTGACGCTTTAACATCTCCTCTGCAAGCAAGTTGCAGAGCTACAATCAAATACCTGTCAGATGCGTTACGCAGGCCTAAGTTGGTCAGTGTTTCACTGCGCTCGGGAGCTGTGCTTTTATCTCCCTCCTCTTCAAATTGCATGATTCTTAGTGTGGACCAAGTACACATATACATGAGTAACCGTCAACAATGCATGGTCTAATGAATTGATAATTTTATGTTTTATTCGCGATAAATTTTCGAGGCACACCGCTTTAGGAATGCTTAAAAGTAGTTGACTTCCTGAACAGAGTATTTTGAACTAGTAAGCAAACATTAGTCCCCTGGTCCTCTGCGCTTTACTTGTTCCTCTAGTCAAACGGACATCTCGTCTGATCTCACAAACTCCCTTAATGAAAGCGCTTTAACTTCATTCACAGTGCCACTGACGCGTGTCCGCAAACTTCCGGGATGATCCAGTGTCCAAGATGTCTCCGGGACTGTCCTGACTTAGCATTACTTCTGTGTTCCAGGCTTTGTGATTGGTACCAGTTGGCGAACAAAAAACTGCTCCCCACTGTCCAATGCTGTCGGGTTAAGACACGTTGCGCACCTAAAAGAGCGGACGGCCAAAGTCCGAACAGCGATACCTCAACTACCGCCGATCCGAGGTTGACAACGCGGATCTCTCTTAACTTGCGCAGTTCAAGCTTCGATATAACCACTGTTGCTAAACAAATGCCAAAGCGCGATCGCTTTGCCGGATCTGCAGTGTATGCTTGTCCGAATAACATTGGCTGATTTGCATTGATCAAACGAACGGTGAGCATTTACGTGCGTGTGTATAAAGGGGATGTATTTAGGATGCGTTATGGACTATTTGGATTAGTCTAACGGGAGGATGCGTTCCTTAAGAATATTCTCGTTTTTACCATGGGTGGAAATTGTTGGGAAAAGTGTAGATTACAGGTGACAAAATGCTTGGTTAATTTAGGCTGAGACGTTCCTACCGGAAGCACAACACCATAGGCGGAACTGGAAAAGGGTATTATTTACAAACATATAACTAAGTATAACGTCTCAAAGGCGTAAGTTTCCTGCTATTTCCGAGCCAACAACTTTGAGTTTCTAGAAAGTAGAAGTCACGATTAAGCTGCACATAATAATCTGCCTCGACAAGGAATCGAACCCCCGTCCCACGAAATTCCGGTCCGCTGCTATACCACTGAGCTACCAAGGGCTGACGATTAGGTGCACAATTTAATACGTGACTTCTGCTTGGTGCGGTACTCCAAACATCCTTCATATAATCTACCATCGCCCTTCGGACTTCAGAAGTACAGTTACTTCGGTCCCTTGGGAAGTGACGAGTGAGTGAGCCAATCTGCAACACCAGCACAGTTAATGTAAGCTCACTGGCAATACGTCGCGCACCAAACAGAGAGCATGTATTACATTGCGTACCTAATTGTCAGCCCTCGGTAGCACAGTGGTAAAACAGCGGACTGAAATTCGTGGGAACGGGTTTCGATTTCGGGTCGAGGCAGATAATTGTGTGCAGTTTAATCATGACTTCTGCTTACTACGAACCCTACGCTACTCATAAACATCCTTCAAGTAAAATTTGAGTTCATCCAAAATGGTAAAGAATGCGGCTATAGGTCACAATCATGTACAAAACTAACGGCGTCATAATATGCGGTGGCTTATATATATAGTTGTATATATATATGTATCAATGTACATAAGAATTTACTTAAGAACGTAACAAAGTGCCATACGAAGCCATGCATATTGGATCTTCATGCCAAGCATATAATGATAGGCTGGCATTTTATGGGTTCGACCGTACTTGAACGAAGTCACTTCTAAGCATTACATGCAAGAATGTGTGCTCAACGACAGTACAAAGTAACATATATGAACCATGTTTAGGCATATCAGTGCAATAAACCATATCTAGACGTCAATTTCCAATCCTCAGAAGAGGATAGAACATTAAAGCGGTCAACAGCACCGGCAATACAATTGGTTGTACCAGATGAAACGACAGTGGTTTTGCTCACCTGATTGCGCTCTGCTTAAGCGACTAACACACATTCCGTTAAAGCTATTTCGCAGTGTTGGGGCTTGTGTGTAGACAACAAAAATCTTTTTCTTTATAACGGACGTAGAAGATTGATTTCTAGACTCTAAATTACAAAATATTCAAGTGTTAAAATGAAGGTTGCGCAATTAGCAGTGTAATCAGAGAGTGGGTGTCATATATCGAAACGAAATGCTCACAGGAAAACATATTTTGAATTTTGCTATGTATACCTACTCTCTAATGCTACCTGGTTTTTTTGCTTGTAATCAACCACTGAATCTATGCAGCAGATATCGGTATGACAATAAGTGTGTCATTCTTATTAAATGTTAACTACAATTAGGAGAGACCGCAACCATTGAGTAGCAGTACAATACACACCCTGACGTGATGCTTCCACGAAGCTTCCAAGCATCAGCGAAAACAACAGCAACTGAAGTACGCCAATTGCGGCTTCCACTTGTTAGCCTACTGTCCCTAGCCCACGCTAGCCATGTGATACACCTATATAGAGCCTGGATTGAAAAGCAAAGCATACTCGAAATGCGTTGCGGTTAGTGCATGGCGTTATCAAACTGATGGTCAGGTTTGCTTACCCTAATGCAGTCAACAAATTTATCATGTTACTTTAGTAAGTATAATGATAATATCTAGAGAGGTATCACATCAGGCGGTTGAACTAGCAGTTGTTAGCTGAGAAACCTCAACAGCACTTTTCGTCTGAGGCCAGTAACTACAGTCACCGCACTTTTGAACGACAGTGCTTAAACTTTATGCTAACGTAATGCTCACAAACACATTATTGACCGCCGAAACTTTTGAAATTATTCCGATTAATCAAGGTGGATGGCTGATCGGGTTCTATGGCTTGCGCGCGAAAAGAAATTTTTAAACACCAACTTTAGTTGCAGGCGCGTCGAGTTCCACAAATATGTGACTAGTCTACAAAACGGAGCACTTCAAATACAATGTTGCCACTAACTCCATCTTTTCTACTAATACGATTTTCTTGGCTTTATTTGACTTTTAGTAAGAAAATAAAAAGGATTCAGTTAGTTTGACTATCCGGAGGAATGAATCTCATTTATTCTACTTCAATAAGTAATGTTTATTATACACACCCTGAAAGGTGCCATGCGCAGCGGCCTATTTCTCTACCACTAAGTAAATTGTTTCAAGAAGAACCTAGGATTATATGCTTTGCCAACCATTTTTGCAGTCATGGTGATCTTAGACGTATTTTGCTATACATGCATCCGAAGTTTACGAAGTTTTATACTTTTGCTAAAGAGGAATACAAACGTCTTGTTAGTAGACAAAGTAAAGCAGTGTGCACCGATCCCAAACACTACCAACTTGCAGCAATAGAATGCAAAGAAACCGTTCGAAATTCCAAGTTTAACTTGTCTTTAATGCATACATACATCGAAAGCGACGTCTTGTGTATTACCAGTGAATTATCAGAGCCAAAAGTACTCATAGCCTGCAATACTTATGGTATTTTCTTAGCGCGAACCACTCCCTTAAATGATCATGTCATTGTATGCAAACGCACAACAAATTTTTTAATTTACGCAAATCTTCTTCCTCACAGATCTTAACAACCTCCTTACAAGGACCATCCAATTATATAAGGCGAAATCCAGTGCAACATAATTTTAAATAATTGTTAGCCGGGTAGCAGCATTCGACATCGATTTAATCTATGGAATCATTTAAATCCGTCCTCGAATTCTCTGGTGCATGTTAACAAGCACATTCGTCTGCAATGAAGGGTAGAGTAGCTACCAGTCTAGAAGCCATGTATCACTTAGGTTTTCATATATCCGGCTCCGATCCAGACAAATCCTTGTCATCTTTAGTTTGTCCGGATTAGTAATTGCTTACTGGTGTTAGCAACATGAATCTAGTTTCATTGATTTAGTGGTTAAACAAATTCAAATAACTACTTATCCCATTTCTTTCACACAATACTTGTTAATATATTTTGTGCTCCAATTCGAGCCTTTTAATCCAACCGCTCCTGAATCTCTCTAGTTCTCGTAGAACGCCGGAAGTCGGTGAAATATACGCTTCAACAATTAGTTCTTGCAGAACCAATATATCACCGCACGTAAACCAATGAAGGTATGCATTCTTAATGGGATAGCCATATTTTCAATACAAGTAATACCTTGCGCAGTAAGCGAAAATATAGATACACAACTCTCCTAGATCGACCTACATACTTTTGATCTGAATGGCGTGATACATTGGGTGTGGCTTTGATTGATTATCAAAAGTGATGTATAAATTAGTCAGATTGTGCCGATACCAATGGTATCCTTCCGAAACCATGACAAGCCATTTGCCATCTTCGATCACAGCCATCCTGTTGCTATGTCTAAGAATGGTTGACGCAGTAAATTTTGAAAGTAAGGCTTGCATATCCATTGCATGTACGTACCAATGGGTTAAGATCTATTCACAGAGTAAATAGGATTTCATGTTTAAACATTAACAAATAGTGTAATAATAAATCCTATCGGACAATTACCCAAAACACTGCAGTGCACCTACGGTAATTGTAACTTCCGGCATATTTGTATATTTTGACCTAGTGAGTGCTCGATCACCTTAACCACCAAGCCGTCGTGAAATAAATTAGACATATATCGACATTTTACCTTAGTGTTCATGCAATGTATTCCAGGACATCCAAAACCAATCCCTAATTATTTAGTAATTTATGTGAGTTGACCAAGCCGAATAACCCCAATTACCCACAGAGTGCTTGACTAATATTTCCTTTGCATCCTGCTTCATCCTTTGCTGATTTGCAATAAGCGAAATATTGACGAAGGATAATTGGATTCCGGTAATCAATATGACTACGAGATTTGTATTGTTTTATTAGAATTTAATTGCTGATTAGGGTAGATATGCGCAGTATGTGTTATATGTATAAAGACTAAGAAATAACCTAGTGAGGTGGGAAGTTGTGTAAAACAGCTTGTTCATCTGGCTCGTAATGAACATGGTAATAATCTAAGTACATATAAGTAATACATAAAAGTATTTCCAGAACTCATACTAGTTAACGCAAAACTCTGTTAGAGATTTCACCCTTGAAGATCAGGTAATACAGCATCCTTATAACTGAAGCTCCAGAATTTAGATTCTTTATTTCTTAAACTATAAAGAAGATGCCTTCTGCTATGCAATGATCTGAATTTGGGCAGTATTGTGAATTAACAAGGAGTTAATAAGCTGTAGGGTATATGTGAATTCAGCAGATGATAATACTAAATATTGATGTAAATCGAATACTCAGTTATATTTTTCTGCTGTTAAATTTATGTATACTTATCTCGTGCATTTAAGGAATAGTTTTCAACCTTCTCGTTAATTGTACGGTTAACGCAGTGTTTATTTTAAATGATACATTATTTGACAGCTGAGTTGCACTTTTCTACTATTGTAGTATGATGCAATCACGCATTCTAAAAGTATAATGTTTGTTGGCCAGTTATATGACTGCATTACGAGTTATTTGGCAACACTGCAGGAATTCTAATAATGCGTCATGTTCTTCCGAAAAAGCAGAAACATCCAGCTGCAATCGGAGATTAAGTGGTGCTGATACCGGTAACATACACTATCCTGAATCGTCGAAAACACATGAAGACGACAAATTCTGTAACTATGCCATTGAAGTTCCATCAAAGAAGAGGATAAATCTTACCTTCACTGATATATGGGTATGCTAGCATACATTACTTTTAATTATGTTGCTCAGTCAGTAAGATCTATTTTTATCTATCACACCATGTGACATAAGCATCTACTTTTCACTTAAACAAAAGCTGAGTTGACAAATTTAAAAGTAATTTCTATTTCGTGTTTACATAGATTCCGTTTGCTTTATTGATTGACAGTCGATAGCTACAATTGTTCATATGCTATTTAATCTAGCTTCAAGCAACTTGCTCTGCATTAACTGATTTCGTCGTGGTATTCGACGGTTCGGACTGCATGTCTAGAAGACTTGGAGCAGTGTACGAAGGAGAAGGAACATTTATTTCATCGACTAATAAGATAACGGCTTTGCTCATATCAAATGAGCCTTTTAGAACAGGAAGATTTTCGGCTACATACACAGCAGGTAATGGATGTATTTGTTAAGATATATGTTGGAATAATTTACCTTAGCTATAGTACGTACTTTACATAAGCTAATTCTGTAAGTATATAAATGATTTTGTGCGACATCACAGTACTTGTCGAGGACAAATTCCTCGATAAGCAGGAGGATTTTGATGCATTCCATAATTCATCCTAGTTGATCACAAGCTAGAATAGTCGAACCCCTATTCGGAAAAGTACCAGATGATTATTTCGACCTATTGATGCTCCTCAGTGCTGTGCATCCACACGGTCCCCTGTCAGGGTTCGAACCCAAGGTCGCTAGCAGCGTAGGTCAGCTTGTCAGTAGCTTGTACCAATCAGCCGATATGGGACGGAAACTGACCTTCTGAAGATGCAAGCTAGCTGGGATATAGCATAACCTGTTTACCACTATCATGCTGGTTTCTACCACTACAGAGGATAACGACTGTCTTCCAGCGGTTTTGACTTCCACTGCACATGAGTATGTCAGCATAGCATAACAGGGTACAGATAGAATGCGCACCAAAGAGAAGCCAAACTAGGGCGATAGGATTAACTTGTACTTTTCCTGATTGTAACTTAACTATTGCAGCTTGTAAACAGCTGGGATGAATCAGTAAAATAAGATTCCCCTTGAACTTCCTTGTGATCGCTGGCACGCTAATCCTGTTAGTTACTAACAGAGCTGCGTTGCTCCCATATAAATGCTTAATACTCTTATTTATTTTACTTGAGCCAGGGATAACCCCTGAGAACTGGCGTTATCGCTATGCAAAAATTAACAACAATAATATGGCGAAGGAATGATATTGGATGAGTGAGAACGTAATGAACATTGAGTACAAAAAAACTATTCTAGAAATAGGAAGTAATTCTAGAAAACTGACTTACTCATCATTTCGGGATAAGAGTACCTGGTGTTAAACTCACTGTAATACATTGTCAGTTAATGCATTTTGACCGGCTTCATTGAGATGGACAAATTGCACATTTTGTATTATTTATCTTTGCTCTTTATCTCTTGCTACTTAGTTACCGGGACAAGTGAGTTTTTATCTATGCCACATTCTGTATTTTTCATGATGTTAGGTAGGATTGGTTTGTGCACTGCGACAAGCGATGTGAGAAAAAATATTTCTTACTCTTTTTGTATAAAGAATTCGTCGCCGGTTATGGTGTTTCAGATGAACACTAATATGCAAGAACTTTCTATTATCAGACGTCATCTATTACGTCTATTTTTTTGCTATTGCGCAGGTGCAACAGTTCCAAAATCCTCAGGACGTAAGTGCCATTTTCCTGCCTCCTTATGCAACCATTAATTTGTGGTTGTTCGTTGACTGTGTGCTGAAAGTTATCTAAATCTCTTTTATAATTTCCCATTTCACCTTTCCAAACTGACAGCGGACGACTGGATTTTAAGTGAGTTTTTAGCTAAATTTGCACTCTTTTGCTCTGCATTTCTAAGAGGTGCGATTCTACGACTATTCTTCCAGTAATATACTATTTTATTAGTTATTTCTGGTTAGATTATGCGTGTAAAAACTGGAGTTTCAGTCCCTGTTGTTACAGAAAACAAGCACTTGCCCAGAATTAACTTGATCCCTTAGTGCTACTTTGAGCAGCTTTCGGGATATTACATAAGTTACGGCAGAAATTAGGAATTTCTTGTAAAGTTCTTGTAAAATGTTTATTTGTGGCACACTCAAATAAAATTAGTAGTTTTATTAAAGAGAGAAATTCGGAGGCCATCCACAATGTAGCAATTTTCAAAAAGGAACAACTGATATTGTAGTGAAACCAAACTCTCATTTTGAGGCTAGTATAACTGATGGACCCACTTCTTACTGGCGGAACAACAAACTAAGTATCTAAAATTAGACGGAAATACGAGGCGTGCAAATGTGTATTGGACAAAACGCAAGAGAGTTGCGCACGATGATAGCTTAGCCAAGGAGAGATATTGTGAGTCTTCCTGGAACGAACTTGAGTACAGCGCTATACTGAGAGATTTGGCGGTAGCAATGCACGTAATAAATTCAGGTCATGAAAGCGAGTTGCCTAATGTCAAGAACATTAGCCGGATTGCGATCAATACCGCAAACTCCGCCTGTTGCTTCCTTGTAATTCAGAAAGGTCAGCAGCTAGTGAACGGTCAATACAAAATAGAGATTACGTACGGAAAGCAAGCTATCTTAACCGGGACAGTTTGAGTAGCATCCGTAAACGGATCCATGGCAGAGATGGAAAATCAAATTTACCCACTCCCATCACCCACAGCGAAGCACGTTTGGTGACTTCAAAACGTAAACCATTTGGAACAGTTCCATGCAGCGCTTAAGCTGACACTTTCACTTTGAACGCAATTACCCATCTACCTACTTGATGCCGTGTTTATTTTCCAAGTTTGCTTTAGTTATCACAATGTTCATCAACCGGTCCACTCGGATTAACGAAGCAATTGCATAAAAACGAAAATTTCCCCATAAATGAACCAACAACTGGTTTTTAAACTCTTACGCAATAGTAAACACGAAGTACATTAAGACTTCAGTCGCTTAGTTATCCCAAATTACCTTATGATATAGTGAAGTATTATGCACTAATCAGTAAATTAACGCGTTTTACAAAATCCTATTTACGTGTAAGGTTTTGTCCCTTTTTTGCATTAAAATTGTTAAATTGCACGTGCTTTAATTACTTCTGGAAATAGGATTCTCTTAGTAAACATAGCTATTACAAGCACACATTTAACTTTTTATTCATGGGATATAAGCTGTTGTTACTCGTTTGAACTTTTGTTGATACTGGAAGCAAAGAAGTGATACTTTTGTCAAACAAACCTTACTATATGCTGGCGTGGACATCGTTTACCGCCTACCTGTTCTAGCAAACTGCGGACAGGAACTAACGGCGGAATCGGGCAGCATCTCGTTTCATGGAACTGCACAAACAAATGTCCTCTGCATCTGGAGGATAAGGGTACCTTCCGGAAAGACTATCAACCTACGTATAACCACGTTAAATGTAAGTCATATTTCTTGCTTACGAAATAAGATAACAGATTTTCTTAACTAGTTATTAACTAGTTGGTGAAATTTGGACGATTTAAAAAACCATGCACTTTTGATATGATACGGGAAACTATCACGGTGTAAGGGGTCATAGGTTTGCAACAACGTGTATCGGGTCATGACAAAACTTATACGTACTATTTTTTGGAAGATTTTTAGTAAATAGCGTTTAAAATAAACACTGTATATATCAAAACGTGTTAACTGTTAGAGCTCAGAGAAACATATGTGTGGAAGAATACATATTAAGGCCGAAAATATGTTTATTTTTAGACGATACGTTTAATTTGATTTACTGACTGCTAGAAACTGTTTATTTGTTTAGTTGGATGCAGCGTTTACATCGCTCCGCGTGTTGAATGGGGAAAACTGTGGTGCCAGTTTAATAGCCTACATCTATGGAATGCCCGAAAATCGGCCTTTCACCGTGAACTCTACATCGAACACTCTGACCTTAGTATTATCATCACCCTTCGGATTTGCATCAGAAGTAATTGAAGCGACTTATTCAAGCAGTGAGTAATGAAATTTCTCCATCTCTATGTTGCTGATCACTACAATATGATACTTCGTTCCGTTAATGTACATGTTCTTCCCCACTGGTTGTACTGCTCCCCTGTTATTTTTCCTGGTTCCCTGTAAGGGCTCAAAGTTAATTGTCAGATCATCAAGTCAATTATCCTGATGTGGTGGCGGTCTGATGTGTACTTTATCAACATGCTTCTGTCTACACACAACAGTACTCGTAAAAATCTGGCATCAATGATATTAAGGGATTAATGTGCTCCCTCATTACGCCTTATTTGTATTTCTATCAACTCCATCGACTCGTCAGAAGTATAAGTTGATAGATGGTCGTATACCATTCTTCTGCTCGTCGGTTATCCTTTTTCTTTCGCGTTTTTCCATAGTCTCTAACTCTGTCATTCTGGAACTAACGAGCCGATTGGCGATCTGATGGCGTTTAAGTCTAAGATTTATCAAACCACACAACTTGTTGCTGCTTTTTAACAACCTGCCTACACTCAAGTTACAGCATTGCTTAACTCGAGCGCTTGGCAACAAAGCCTTCACATTGAATATCCTGACGGCTAGAACGAACGTCCGCTCTAATTGCTTCCTGACCAGCTACAGCTATATGTGGAATAAGATACCAATAACACTCAGGTCAGGTGACAATGTGGTAACATCTGGTAGAAGACGCGCCAATTATCCTGATCTAACTACACTAAACTCTATATTCCCATGGGAAATCTCCCTCGATGACCTATTCTATTAGCAGCCCAGAAAAATATAAACACCAATTTTTTCATAACTAGGCTTTAGCCTCAACCATCCGCCAGCACGTTACTAAATGAAAAGCACATCCAAATACTTCACCCTTGCATATCACCTATGCAAGAGCATGAATACTTCTGCACAAATTGATCTGTGCCGCTATAGACACATTTTCTCTCATTAACTAAATATACGTATTATCATTATTATTATTGCTGTATGTTACAGTTACCTAAATGCTTCATTTTTGTACATCGTTGACATCTTGTATGTTACAGTTGTATATGCTCCTGCCATTAGTGCAGAATAAGGTTTATTGACCTGACTTGACACCTTCCGTCTAAGGATGGGACTCGGTTAGTATTTAATAACATTTTACTGCTGAATCATCGACATTATTTATGTGCGAACAGTGGTTGTAAACCGTGTACTGTGATCACGGAATAAGCAACTAATTTTGAGCAAAGCAAACAAATCATCCATTGAGCAGAATGTAATTTTCAGACCATTTGAAGCGTCTGGATATCTTGCCAGGTAGCATGGATATTGTGACACAGGTGTTTGGACCCCAGTCCCAGTTAAAACATCAGTATACACAATGGCACCACATAAAATCCTCATGCTTGCACGCGCTTGTGTTCTGTTAATTTAAAAGCTTGTAATTCAGTCTATATGTAAGCCCTTGGCATAGATATTCGAAATAATTTACGTGACAGCCAAGTGGACTACAAATAGCCTGTTTTATTTCTTCATACGTAACTATGGATTGGAGATGTGTGAGATCTAGTTCATCAACACTTACATCAATACACATTAGCTGAAGGTGATAAATATACTCCCGCCAGCGGTAACGTAATACGGAAGATATATAAAGGGCGAGATATTAAACATAAAAGAATATAACAAACCAAATGCAAGTAAGCTAATGCTGTGTTTTATTATCCATGCAGTATTAGATCGTCTTCGAAGATAGAGGATAAACAAGAAGATAAAGGAACTAAAATCTTATAACGCCAACGCTACTGCTTTCGGCTGTTCATTGTCCCGTCACACGTGTTTAGCGTCGTTGGGACACCAGCCTTGTGCCTAGGAGACAGCAACTGATGCTAAGTGTGGCCGTATTTGGTCTTCCATCTTCTTCTTCCATCCCAACCTCGCTCACACATCAACGTATGTCCTGGGAGACGGTATGCTGGCATATTCAACATGTGGCGCGACCATTGAAGCCTGGCGCCTGACAGAACGTCGCTAAGCGGTTCACTCCCTGTTCCTGCATTAAGTACGCTACGCAGAAAACGATTATTACTCATGCTGTGTTACCACCATTAATGAGCCAAACTGCGGAGACATTGATGGTCGATTGTAACAAACCCTTTTTGTCTGTGTATTTGATGTGACAGATTTGGCAACCGTACAGGATGTTGGACGCACGGCTACGTTGTAAACTCTGCCCATCAGGACTAGAGTGATGTCGCGCCGATACAAAGATGGCAGCAATTGGCAAATGTACCCTAGTCAACGCTTTACTGTATTAGGATTCCAAGTGGCGAGTGAATGCAACGATTGCTCACACTACAACTAGGTGGCTGTTTTACACGCCAAAAATTAATTAATGTTTTCTATTAACCACCTCAGATACGCCTTAGTTACGCCTTACGGGCATCTGACGTGAGGATAAAAGCAGCCATTTTTAGTAGTAATATTACAGTCACTGATTGTATCGGGTAGCGCCTACGGTTCAGTTGGCAACAAAAACCATGCCAAGAAACGAAGCAGAATAACTCTCGGGTACCCTGCTCGAATATCATGTGGGCTTTATTCACAAAACTGTGTGCAGACGACGTAACTAAGTTCAGACCTGCATAATCTTCAGTTCGAAATGATCTTTTAATATTGCGTGATCAACAAGGCTGCTTAAAACAGTTTGAAACCGAGAATTTCATCCACTTCATGGTTATGTGGGCTTCCGAAGACGCAAAACGGTGGAGTGCCAATCAGACAAGTCCTAGTAATGCCAAAAGTAGCCCAACAAAAGCCAGCTCGCTTAATTGTGAAACTGTTGTTTCGCTAAGAATTCAGTTCAGTATATACGTCCTCAGAGATTCGGTTGAGCTTATAGAAGAACCCGACAAAAGGAGTCTTTCCAACAATAATTTCTTCGTTATATTTGGAATCCTTGCTAACCAACGTCGCGTTGCAATAGATGATAGAATACATTTATTAATTGGCACATAGTCCTGACTGTCCGGTACCGATGCCGATTGTGTTGTTCCTAGAATCAATGCTTCTGCGCATAGAGTAGGTAAAGTTCATTTCCTGAACACATCGTACCGTTATGTTTATGGAGTACCAAATAGTCCTCCGCTGTGCCCCATCCTAGCGGATTTCCTTATGTTGATGTAGCGCGAGGGATGTCCGAAGAACTAGCTTAACCGCTGTACTACAAACGCTATGTAATTGAACTCTTAGGGTTTTGTTTATTAAAACGGCGGCTAACACAGCTACTAATGTGCTGGAATGCAGCGCATGTCAGCCTGGGAGCAGTGGAACTACTTGTCCTATTTAGATGTCATCCTAAACCTAAAGGCGAACCGAAAAGTTAAAAAAGCTGTCTACCAAAACAACCTGGTCCGGCTAATACATGCATTTACTATCTGTACACAAGTGCGGTGCAAGCAGACATGGCAGACGAATATGTTCAACAAGTTATCTGGCAGATGAACTAGAGGTAATTATTGCAAGCAACCGCCCTTGGAGACTCATCGAGAGGCACAGCCAACACAGCCGAACGAGAAACTCGATGCAATTTTCCCATAAAACAGCTACTCTTAGAGCTACCATTTAAAGGTAGCATAGTTATAGTGAGGACTACCACGCCTCTGGTCTCTGCCACACAGATCACTTTAACTGCTACGGAAAATACAATTATCAACCGAACTCACAAGCCGACTCTACCTCTGCCCCTTGCGACCAACTCACATTTTGTATACCAGTTTGTACGTAACTGCTAGATGGCGCTAGAAATAGCCAAAACTCAAGCTTTATGTCGAGGAAAGTTACCGATATCTTCGATTGCCAGGCATTTATTTACCTCAGGTCACCTGATCGAGGCCGGCACGGGAATCATAGTTCCACCACGTCAAACCAAATCGTTTGATTTGCTGAGACCCTCGCAATAAACCGGAGTAAGCCGTCGCTTTGCATCTAAAAAGCAACTGTCGATCAATCTCACATAACCCTGGAAAATTGGCACGAGTTCCATACCGTTTCCTTATCGTCTGTTTCTCTGTGGTAATTCCAGTTGCCGTTTTCGGCACTGACGACACGATACGAAATGCATGTACCTGCTGATATTCTTACTCTAACTGCAATTTTCAACTTTTGTTGTGTGTTAATGAATTTAAATAAGTTCGTATCTTTACTGAAAAATTTGTAATAAAAAATTTTCAAAAATTCACAAGTTTGGCTTAAATGATGCGCCAACCGGCGAAGTAATATCACTTTATATTTTGTTTTGTCGAACATTTACTTTTACTTGTGTCGCGGAGTTCTCGTGCCCAATTGAAGAAAACTAACAATTGCACCGTATTTTAAGCTCGATGTATAGGAAGTCGGCACCTTATAACAACTTTGCAACTCTTAATAACTTAACATAACCCCATATGATACGCCTCAGTTAAAATTGTACTTATTGCTAGATTGATGACGTTAGAACAAACATCCAGCTTCATAAAATGAAGAGGCCGCTACTTCCTAACAACAAATACGCGAACCCTAGATAGATATTTTTTAGAAATATTCTACTTGTGCTAATAGCAAGAGCTATACGTATTGAGCTGGGTTGTATTTTAAAAATTTTTAAATCATTTTATTTATTCATTGTCGCTCATCACCTTTAAACTTTAGTAGCGAGGTTCTATAAATCTCTGCCTTGTCTACGTATTTCAACAATTATATCATACACTAAATGTAAGGTATTCTTGTCGAATTCTCACACACTTTTCCGCATATATACCTGAAATATGTTACAATTTTTTGCCTCGTTTAAATGCCTATGGACGACAGAAGTATACTTTTGTAAGTTCGTTGTAAGCAAATTAAATGTTGGCCGCTTATTAGTAATGTGTGCCAGCCAGATTTAAAATGTGCACATAGTAGGTTAAGGAGAAGCACAGTCGTTCCTTGAACTACTACTTTACTTATCAATGAGGTAAAAGATTGACTTTCTCGTATTCATATGTATTACCCATTCAACGCAGTTGGCCAGAATACGCAGTCCTCTTCTACTAAGAAGGTTGTTGGCATTCGGATCCACTTATATTTGTTGTTCGGTAAGTATCACATCATATTATTTAAATAATCAAATGCCGTAGTTGATGAGGGGCTAGTAATTTTGACAAGTTCAATTGTGCAGACAAGGTACTTGAGAAGTTCATGGTGCCCCTGGAGCCCAAATGACAGTAACTGTACTTTGGCGTGTAGGCAATTTTTTTGATAATAATGCATGATAATAAAGCCTTATTGTAACTGATTTCTTTGAAGAACATCGCATGGTTTGTTACCAAATATTTGGGCCATAGTTGCAGTTTCAACGTTAATAATTTGCATTCAGATTCAACTTAGGTTGCTCACTATTAATTGAGATCCACTTACAAAAGCGGTGATATATGCAACATCTAGAAGTCCGGCTATTAATTCTGATTGTTGATGTCTACGACGTTGATACCTAGAGAAATTCTAATAATTTTATCACTGTTGAGAATTTACCTAGTTAAAGACGAAAAATAGTACCGATTTATTGCGCTGAGCTACTAGTGATCCCAGTGCAAGTATCTAATTATCATGCCGACAGAATTGGTATTATTTACAACTTCGCGGTCTGTAAAATCTATACTGCACAGAATGCTTATGCAATCAATCACTTTCTCCATGAGATTATTATTATTCTTCACTTTTATTGCAGCGACGTTTCTTACTTGTAACAAGAAGCCCTAATTCTTCGAGGGATTGATTCAAAGTTTAAGAAGAAGTATCCAAAATGATTATGGAATCTAAAACTGAACCTCTCTACTTTTATAGCATCGTGAACTTCACATGGTACATAATTGAGTGTTATTTCGCAAACCTTGTGCAAACATTTATTTGCATAAAGTTTCAAGGTTATAATACAATGTGTTGAAGATAGTAGTTAAAGCACCCATCTGCAGCAGGGTTGAATACGTGTATTAATTGAGACCCACGAGTTTGTGAGATAGAAAACGCAACCTGTTTCCGTTAAAGTATATGGGCTTGTTGTAGTTTGTAATACTACATCGGCTCACTTTCAGTTTAACATCCGTTGTTATATGGGGTGGTACACAGAATATTTTCCGTGTTTGTATTTATTTCGTAGACAGTTCAAGTTGAATCCCGGTGCATTTTTGCTATCAGCACCACGTGGCTTATAACAGTTTGTTTGCTTAGATTCTATCAGAACAGGCTTAGATAATCATATTTGACTGCGCTTTCGTGTTATGTCATATGTAAGCACCAGATTTGAGATTGAAGTGTTACTTCGAACTACTCGTAGAGTGATAAGATTGCGATGCATAATATCAGTGTGACGGTGATTCAGGTTTACTTGTATGGATGGTAGATGGCCGGTTGTCGAGGAAAACGATAAGCACCATTAACACAACGCGACCGCGCAGACCCGTTCGAGTGAATAAAGCGGAATCAAGGTGCAAATGGTGAGTCAAGCGCGGTCTTTGTTCTGGTCAAAGTCAGGCAGTTTACTAACCGGGGAAGCAGGTTGGGCGCGCAATGCCCATGAGGTAGCTGATGGGCCGATCAGACGAAACAGAATGTTAGGAAGGAAATCCATAAAGAAACAACTGCGGTGCTCAACGTCTTTACGGAGCCAAGGCATGGCAGGTAAGACAAAATCCAACGCAGGGATTGGGTCTTACGGATAGTCAATCGGGTGAAGCGGCCAATTAACACGATGGTACCACTATTTGATTGGACGTAAACCAACTCTTCTGGAGTTTTCCACGTGTGCTTTAAATACTATTCATGCACCTTCGATTTAAAGTTGAACTTGGAGAATCCGCTGGTGGTTGGGTTGCTACAAACAACCTCTATTGAGACCTGGGTCCACTTGAGGTGGACCTTGGTCATTCCGATCACAAGGAACGTAAGTAAAATGGAAACATTATAGTGTTGCTCATCCCAACACTTTATTATGAACGGAAAGATTAGCTAATACAGCCCTGTTTCTCTCTTCTCTTGATTTGGTCTTCCTCTACTTTGGGGACTCGTCACCTCGAGTTTCGCTTGAGAACCAATCTAAATTCAGGCGAGTGCGACCACTACAGTTGGCAACGAATTGAACCCTGATCAAATTGCGCATATCAGCTGACGAGCTCAATGTCATTCTGCTGCAGAACCAAGCACACATTGAGGCGTCCCTACTCAGGCTGATCAAAAAGCTCACTCGCCAGCTGTCAATACTGACCGGTTCATATTCTACAGCCGTCAAGCCGTCCGCATCAGTAGACGCCATCAAGCACACAGCATTACCGAAGTTTCGTATGACCCTGATGCTGGTCTCACATTTGATTCCTCGTTCAAGCATTCCATGTTGAACTTGGAGACCATGATGACGATTTTAAAATCTGGTTACTTTTAAAGAAACTTGGAACAGCAGAGCACTCCATATGTAACGCATTTATTTTACTTATGAACGCTCGAGACTGCGCTTTAGAGGAACGTTTCAAATGCTTCAGCCAAATACTTGTTACACAGTCATCCAACTGAAAAAAGCAATATCAATGCCTGAAGAGCACCAAGATGGCTTTATTATCGACTAGGATGGCCGCAGTCAGCAGCCTTCGAACATTAGTGCCATCAAACAGATGCCTCTTCCTGATAATATCGCCATGCTTAGATCATTGTTTGGGGTTATCACTAACTACAGCTCAACTTTTCCTGAAATTCATCAGCTAAGCGAACCGTAAATGATGGTAAATTTGTATGGTGTCCTGCACGTCAAGACGCATTTAGTGATGTACAGTCTATATTTTGCATGACCCATTGCTATCGCATATCAACCCGGAGGTAGTGATGGTGGTTACTGCTGACGCGTCAGGCTACGTAATGGGAGCGGTCATACCCCACATTTCCTCCATGGTTTGGAGGAAACTTTGGCAAATGCAGCCAGATCACTTACTCCAACGAACGCAACTATGAGCGCATTCAGAAGGAAGCTTTGACTGTAGTGTTTGTAGTCAAGCATTTTTCACAAAATGATATGTGGAGGCAAATCGACGCTGTTTCCATACAACAAACCCATGGTTACAACATTTGGATCAAAGAAAAGCATTCCGTTCCTCAGGGTTACTCGTCTCCAACATTAGGCACCCGTTCTAATTGGTCATAACTTGTCGTCAAATAATAATCCACACACAAAATTGGTCAGTTGGGTGCGTTATCTCGTTTACTTGGTACGCAGTGTACGGAACCAGAAGATTTGCTAATTGCTCAAATTTCCGTAGAACCTCAAGTAAATAAATTTGTGTCTGACGTTTTCGGTGTCTTACTAGTAACGTTCAAAATGGTGCAGGAAGCGATTCGGCATAATTTTACCCTATAGCAATTTACCTGTTTCCACCTCAATGGCTGGTCTAACTGAATTACAACGCCGGAGCTTTAACAGTTCCACCAACGGAAGGTAGCACAATCCGTCGTCAAGTGTTGTCTACTGTTCTCAGATCGAGTCGTCATTTCTGTCATCATTCAACAGAGTGTTCTACGACAATTTGGGACCGGCCACCCTGGAATGAATCGCACGAAATCTCCGGAATTAATCTACGTGCATTGTACTGAAATGGATCGAGAATTTAACGTAGGATTTCCCCGATGTGCCTGTGTCACTAAACAGCCAAGGAATATGAATTTGCAAACCTAGCCCATAAATACGGAACCGCGGTACATGGTACACACCAACTTTGCGGCCCCAACTGACGGCAATCATTTTCTCATCGTTGCGGTGCCCACAATAAACAAACTAAGGTAATTCTAATGATGAAAAGTACTGCAGGAGCCGCTCTCTGTCCTTTGACAGATTTTATCTATTTTTGGTGTTCCCCATACGTTGTGTTTGGACAACATTACTCAGCTCCCCTCATTTACATTTGTTGATTTCCGTCGCAGAAACGCGATCGTCCACGTAAGGTCTCCACCGTTTCACTCATAATCAAGCGGTCAGGCAGGACGCGTTGTGGATACACTCAAGCAAACCATGCTAAATTAAAGCTAGAATTTGCTCTGGCGGAAATTCTTGACACATTTATTCTGTTGTATCACATAACTCCAAATCCAAAGATAGCGAACGCACTATCCCTGGTTGAAACGCTGTTTCAAAGGAAAATGCGTGTGTTGCATGATGCCCTCATACTTAGGAAGAAACAATTACTGTTCCGCAATTAGTATTCCACTATTTCAAATGGGTTAGGTCCGCGTGCTTTACAAACGTGGTAACTGGATCTACGGTATCCAGGTGTAGGCGGCCATTTGGGTGAGACATGCCAATCAGCTGTTAGAGACATGCATTGACTGATAACAGTAACAACTAATACCAGCAGTGCATTTATCTCTGAATATACTGGTCGACATATGTGAAGCGGAAACTTTCCAAAACTCCCCGACGCCACAACCACATGATTCGCCAAGAAACCTCACAGGATAGATGCCCAAGCGGCGGCGCAATTCATGTGCATTATGCATATCAATCAAAAGCTGAAATTGTACAACGCAAATTGAAGGGGGTATGTTAGGAATTAAAACTAAGCGAACAACAGCGACTTCCATCGTCGTTACGGAGCCAAGGCATGACAGGTGAACTAAACACCCAAGCAGGGATTGGGTCGTACGGATAGTCAATATGGTGAAGCGGCCAATTAACACGAGGGTGGCATTATTTGATTTGCTGTAAGTTGACCCTACTGGAGTTTTCTATGTGAGCTTTAAATGCCCTTCACAAACCATCGATTTAACTTTGGAATGACAGGTATGATTGGCCGATACAATCATGTTCTTCCTTGGCTTTATCCGGTCTTCTCTCTCTACTGTGGATAGCTATTGACTTCGAGCTCCGCTTAAGAACCAATCGTCAATTCAGGCTAGGACTACCACTTCACCAAAAAGGATACCAATCAGCCCAAACAAGAAATTAACCGACGGAGATGAGTTTGGGAGGCTAACAAATGACTTCTTTATTCCGGATGCGCAAGGATTGGTCCAAAATTCTGAGAACATATGATGGACGCCAGCCAATGGACCAAGGCGAGTGGTCGAAAGGAAATGACCATTCAAAATGAGTCCGAGTGAATAGCAATATAAAATATAAAAGGCCTATGTGTTCTTTAATGACAGACTTGTGATTGCAGAGCAGACATCTTGATTCTCAGTGTCACACAAAAAACTCAACCTTGATCAATTCGACAACTAGTACCGTAAATGAAGCAAATGAAAATTGGGTTTTCCCGTTCGAAAATATTGCGGGCAACAACAAATAAACAACAATTTTCTGCTTGACAGATAGACAGTATCTTCACAATTGCGATACGGTTATTTATCTGAAGATGTCTGAATTTAGTGATAACCCTAAAACATGTCCACCATCAACCAATTCTTCACCATGGAATAGGATTGGGTTATCGCTCAATCTCGATGATTGATCTAGGAGACCGCTGCTCCTGTATCAATTAAACACCTCTCAGTTTCTCCATTCACCTCTACCATTGCTTCAAGCACACATTTGTTCACAGTCCCAAGTATGCTCTTTACAACACGGGAACAATACAGTTGTTAGCTTTTAATTGGTAGCAAGAGTGCAGTGCGCCTTGTCGGGCATTGCCGCTTCCATTGTCCCAATTTCACACAAAAGTAGCATCGCCCACATTGCCGCGTCCTATGGTGAGCACTTCGAAGTGCTCCCATGTCTTGCGTATTCT